TATTCTTTTCATTTCAAAAACCAAAAATGAAAACATTTTGGCTCGGGTCCTGGACTGATTTGTTTAGAAGCCATATTCAGACATAATACAAACTCCCCCTGCGTTAGTGTATCATAGTAATGATTTTCTTATCAGCACAACATATGACACACCTGCAAAACAGATCAAGTAGATTTTGGTACATAGACAAACTTGGGTTCTACTTTGTTAGTATCGGGCTGGGGAATGTTGTAACTGCCAAACCATCTATTTCTATTAGACGTATTCTTTTTAGCACTTTTAACAGGCATATCAGATATGCAGTAAGAACCATACCAGTTATTGTCAATCCTTTTAAAACTAATTCCAACTGTTCTGATAGCTGTTGTCTCCATACTACCTGTTGAACCTTTTCTTATTGATAAAGTCATTGGTTTTTCATGTTGATCACATGATTCTTCTCTTGCGAAGATTGATCAAATCAATAGTAGATCTCACAATGCAAGGAAGAACAGGGTTAGTAACAACAGAGTTATGAGACAAAGCATAATCAGCTTTATTGACCCAAACATTTTTAGCTTTTGAAAAATAATTGGATGATCCAATGACATACCCTTGATAATACTGATTTGAAGAACGAGACTTGTTCTTAGAAATAATTGATTTAGGACTGTTTGAATAACTGTTAGATTTAACACTGGAACAGTCATAAAAGCTAATGTTACACTGAGATTGAAAACCAGTTTAACTTTTAGTGAGTAACTGGTCTCTCTCATCAGCAACTAAATCGTATTTCTTTTTCTGTTCAGATCTCATGTTCAACTCATTAACAAGTTCTGTCTCTAGATCAGATAATTTCTTTGAAGATTCCAAAAACTTACCTTCTAGCTTTTTCTTCAGCTTTTCAAATACTTTTCTTTCATTCTCAAATTCCTTTCTCTCTTCATCTGAATTTTGCTTTTCATTTTCAGAAGCAATGTCAAGTCATTTCTTCTTCTCTGTAAGCTCTTTGGCAATTGCAACATTTTTCTTACCACTATTTTTCTTTTCAAGAGCAAACACTCTCTTCCCTTCATCTAGTGCTTTATTCTTCTGAACAATGTTGTCAAACAAATCCAAATTCTTGCTTAGACATTCTTCTTTAAACACTTTCTTCTCTTTATCAAACTTGGCTTTTTTCCAAGATGATAACTTGTTCAAAATCAAATATTTGCTTTGAAAGAATTTTGGCATTCAGCTCCAAAGAGTTAATCTTGCTTTCAGAAGATTTTCGTTCAGTATCAAATCTTTTATCTGCTTCTATCATCTTCTCCTTATCTTTTTCCAAAACTTTTCTTTTCAATAACCAAAATCTTTTCAGCTTCTATTATCTTATCTTTCTCCTTTTTCAATAATTTCCTTTCATCAGACAATTCACTCTCAGATTTACGAAGTTTCTCTATTAGCTCTTCAACCTCTTTATTCTTATTTCCTTGAGAGTTCCTCTCTGTATTCAGTTCAAACTCAGCTTTACTGATTTTATCTACTAGTTCTTACTTAATTTTGCTCTACTTTATTGTTTCTTCATCTAACTCTTTTCTTTCAGATTCCAAAGTCTTTTCCAGCTCATGATTTGTGGATTTCAATCTAGAATTTTCCTTTAACTGTTCAAAGTCTCTCTTTCGACTCCCTCTAAAATCATAAACATTTTCAAGTAAAACATCTATTTCAGCATGAAGATATTTCTTTTCTTCGTTAGATTTTTCGAGATCTTGTTTCAAATCTTTAGCCCATTCCATATTAGCGTGATTTTCAAGAAACACAAACCTTTTCTTTATAATTCTTAAGACTATTTTCCAATTCACAAACCTTTTCTTTCAAATCCTTATTTTCGTTCTCAAAGAATGATGCCATTTAAAATTCAAGATTGATCAAAAAAGAATCTATGCAGTATTTGAAATTGATCAAAGAATCACTTTCCATAAATATTACAACACACAATTCCGAAAACTCAATCTTTGCAAAAATTCCAGAAAATCAAGAATTATTCTGTTTGAAAAATCAGACAAAAATAGTCAACAATAAGCAATCACAAATCAAAACAGTTAAAAACTGCTCAAGATATAGACTAAGCTCGGACAAGATACTTAAATGAAATACGGACAAAAATAGTGGGTAACTTGGTGAAATTCGAACAAGGAATTTGTAATTCGGATGAAAAAGTGATAAAAGAAAGAGTTCCAAGCTCGGATAAGGTAGTGTCCAAGGATGGAGTCAATACGGAGAACCTTGTGTGATGTTACTAGAATCCGGTCAAAAACTATGGTCAAAAAAGTCAATACGAACAAGATAGGGACAGAGGAGATGATGAATTTGGCTAAGTTATCCGAGAGAGTGATCGAGGACAAGGCTGAGTATGGCTAAGAAAACCCTGAGCTCAGACAAGGAGTTAAACGATTTTGGTGAGAATCGGATGAGTTTGTCCTAGAAAGGTTGTGTCCGGATATGACTATGTTGATCTCGGATGAAGATGTGGCCGAGGAAGACTTGAAATTGGCTAAGTCTTGACTGAAGATGGATGCAATCCGAACAAGGTGGTGTCCGTGTATGGTGATCTACGGGTGAAAGGTTATGCGAGGAAAAGTAGAATCTGGACAGGTAGTGTCCGAGGATTGAGACTAGAACTTGGCGAAGGCAAATTGAATCTGACTGAGGCAGTTTCTTTGACCGAGGATGTCCGGGGAAGTGTGAACGAGGATGTCCGGGGAAGGGCTGTATCCGGTCAAGCCTGTGACCGAGGTAGACTTGGACTCAGACAAGTCTGTATCCGAGGATGCCAAATCCGGATGAAGTGTGAACAAGTATGGCTCAAATACGGACAAAGGGTGATGCGACTAAGACTTGATCTTGGTTATGCCTTTGTCCGAGAATTGTTGAGTCCGGCTAAAAAGGGTATCCGGGGATGGCTGTGATCAAAAGTCTAAGTCAGTATTCGATTTACAATCACCACAAACATAAAATTTTCAACATTTCTCACCGAAAATGGATCAAAATCCTGATTTTATGATTTTATTCAAGAACATAAAGTTTTTCAAACTTCAAAAATCTCATCAAATCTTTAAAAATAATGATCAAAACATAAAATCTTGTGAATAACACAGATTCTAGATCCAAAAAAACGCACACAACGATCATCATTTTAACATACACACATCAAAGAATGAAAGATTTGAGTAGAAAAAAATGATCAAAACATTCAAGAACATTCATATGAACATGATGAACAGATACGAATTTCCAGAAAATTTTCAACTTTTTGATGATTTTCTTCAACCAAAGTCACTGCAAACATGCTCTGATACTAATTGATAGTCCCACTTTGTCAATCAATCTTCAAGAATCATCTTCAAGAACAATATAAATGGCATTCTTCAAATATGAGTTTAGAGAGAAAAGGTCAACAAGTCAATGTAAATATTATTACTCTTAAAACTCAATTACACGTAATATGACAATTTAGCTCCTAATACTTAAAACTCCCTTACAAGACCTATTTATAGGTCAAACTAGAATAGAAAAGTCAAAGTCAAACTCAAGATTTACAAAGACAAATATTCTAGAAATACAAATAAAGTCTTTCAAGATTGAATACAATTAACATCTAAAATTCAATCCTAACAGCTAGATTTATTACATATAAATTGTATACTGAAAGAAATGAAAGGAAAACAAGATTACAAGACAGAAAATTATCTATTCTAAGTCACTGAAGCCGATGTACCCATGTACATCTTCTCCAAGCTTCTTTCTTCGTAGTAGCTCCTTTCTGATCTTGCGGTTCATCACCTCTCCAGGTAGGTCATCGTCCAACCAAGATCTGAGATATTTAAGGTGGTCTATTGGACAGAGGTGGAACTCAGGTACACGTTGGAAACTGTATTCGCCATCATAGTCTACAAAAATTAATCCATACTCAGGTTTCACATGCATAATGTTGGGTATGTAATGACTCTTCGCTGGCAATGTCAGATTCAGCTTAGAGGTATCTGGCTCCTTTCGATCCTGTAGGATTTCGTATAAGGAGAACTTAGTTTCATGTTCATTCCTATAAGAAGGTCCATCATTAGGATCTAAAAGGTTTCTTCTTCTTTCGGGTAGCAACTCAAGCACTAGAGGGACAATAATAAATTTTGTCACCTTCTTGAAAAGATCATCCAGGATGTCTTGAATCATTGGTCGGTGCTTGGACTTTGAATGCTGAATGGCTTGACAATTGTCTAGCCATTCTTTGTAGCTATACTGCCCGAGATACGAAGGATACTTGATGACAGCCTCAAGGTTGTTTCTAGAGATGATCATGGAGACAAGCATTCCACCATCTTTCATCCGTCTATTGATAGTGACATTTGAAATCTGTTGGAGACTTATTCTTTTCTTTAACTGCTCTTCACACTATCTCTGGTCGCGGTCTTTCATCATTAGCGCTCTCTGATGATCTCGTTCATCTTGGGAGAGTAGATGGGCCTGAGCCTTGACCGGGTCTTTTTTTTCCGGCTTCCTCTTGGCCAGATCTTTGACGGCAAGAGACTTTGCAAGATTTAATTTGTCTTCCATCTGCTGTCGTTGGATTCTTAGTTCTTCTTCGACCTTTAGGGCTTCCTCATGTTTAACAACTGTGAAGAAGTCAAACTCACCACAACCAGAGGTACGAAGAAGGATTTTTACTTTGGTTTGGTGTAGTTGACTCCTCAACTAAGTCATCCTTTGGTCAGCAAGAGCTCCAGATGTTGGAGTTGTAGGAATGCTTTCATCTGGAGGACCAATAGGAATCAAAGTAGAATTAAGAAGAAGTGAGGCTTCAGATTCAGATATGAAGGGGACAAACCTAAAGCTCTAGGTGATCATTGTAGGATTTATCTTTCTGAAAATTATAGACAGATTGCCCTCTTCAGCTACACCTTTGTTTTTGCTTGAGGTGTGCTGGTTCCCTTTTGATTTCTCCCCCTAGGATGAAGATTCCCTAATGGAGACGCCCTTCTACGCTAGTGCTGGTCTTGTGTGATATGTATAATGAAGTTGTCATTATCGTCTTTGTCTTTATCATCATCATCTCCAAGGTCGCATCCGTCATGAGGTAGAGGAGTATCTTCATCATCTTCGTCTTCATCATCACTAACATTTACTGCAAAGGTGATAGGAAGGTCTTCGTCAATATTAGGTGCTATAACGGCACCATCATCATCCTGAGCTTCAACATCAGCTTCAGCTTCATCGAATGTGATGACATCCTCAGATTGAGGGATCACGGTTTGAGGGGAAACTTCAGCTTTAGCGGCAACAACGACTTTAGCTTCAGGTTCCGCAAGCAGGTATTTCTCCCCTTCTTTGTCATCAACAACTGAAGAGGCGAGGTCATTAAAACACTGCGAAAGGTCTTTTGTGTGAGGCTCGAGGTTTGAAAGTGCCTCGACTTGCAAAAGATTAAATTCAGCCACTCGATCCATGGATCGGTGATCAACATCGATGAACAAAGGTTCAGACACCGGGACTGAACACTGGAGAAGCAACAGAATCTTCTCTAGAAGCTCGCCATGCCTTGCAAGCTGTACTTGCACTTCATTGGCCTTACTGTTTAAAACGTTGATGGCCTCAGTGTTAGTGCACACTTTGACTTGCACTGTCTTCAGCAACTCCTTCACCTCACAAACCTTGCTTTGACAACAGAGAGGCCGTTGGTGAGGTCTTCCTTGATGGACATGTCTTGGTGGACTTGGTCCATTTCATCCAAGACATTCGTGACGGGAGGGAGGAGGATTATGACGTCTTAAGCCATGTCATAGACATCTATCTCCATGGTTGTAGCCTCCGTAGTAGAAGGACCTGAAAAGGAGGGAAAAACTTAAGCATTATGGGGCTCTAAGTTAGAAGAAACGAAAGGGTAGGGTGTGATAACCGAGTCCTGGTTATGCACTTGAGGTAATGGTTATGTGATTACTTGATTATATGATCATGTGAATATCTGATTAATTGCTATAATTGATCATTTGGATACATGCTTACATGAGATTAAGATGTGAGTGTGTGCATATTTTTCATGCATGGGAAGTATGAATATCTATGTATGCATGGAAATATATATATGGATATTATATGTATACATATGTGTATGCATGTGCTATGTGTGTATGGATTTATTTCATGGAATACATGCATGGTTTACATGCGTGATCTACACGTGTGTGTATATGCATGGGATGTGATAAGAAGAAGTTTTACCTACTTTTGGAACCGCCATTCTTTTTAGGAAGGGTATAAAAAGAGAAAGCTTTTTCTTTTTGCCACTTTTGGAAAGAACCAGTAAAGTGAGAAGTATGTATTGCTTGCGATACTTGGAACTAGGTTTTGGAATCAAAGTAAAGGCTTATTCATATTTGTGTTATAACCGGGTTTCAGACAACCTGAGTTGAGGTAACCTATACGTGATTATTATTTGAAACTACGTGATGCCATGCATTGTAATTAATTAAGTGCATGAGTGGTATGCATATATGTGAAAAAGGTATTCTGATGTATATATGAATTATACGTGCATATATGTGATGTGAAGCATGCACGAGGTTTTGATTACATTAATATGTGAAGATGCAATATCTTCATTGTAAAGCAAATATGATTTTAAAATAATATCTTTCACCGCCCAAAACTATTTTATAAGTAAAATAGTCTCCACCGCCTTGTCAAAATATATATAGAAAGAAAAAGGGGATAAGATCCTCTCTTATCACTTTATTTTTTGAGAAAGAAACCTGTTTGGAAGAGAAAAGGGTGTTTTGTGACGGTGAAGAGAATTCTTGAAGAAAACTGTTTAAAGATTCTGTGATTTTGTTGTGTGTTTTAACCTACAGACTCTGTGGTTCATAAGATGAGTTTTGATAAACTAAAACCTTTATATTTGAAGTCATATAAATTGTTGGATTTTGGGAATTTGCGATTTAGAAATAGTTTGATAAAACTATTTTGTAACAGTTCAAACAAATTGTTTATGATTTTGGAGTTTGAAACTGTTTCGGAAAAATGAAATAGTAACTATGCTTTAAAACAGTTCTGGAAAATGATAATCTGTCTTAAAGGATTTAAAAGAGATTTGATATGTGGAAATTTATGAAAGAACAGATTGTTCTTGAGTTTGAAGGTTTTGATGATAAAACTAATTTGCAAACCATTATTGGTTGAAAACGATGGAGGTTGTTTCATCAACATGGTTGTGACTTTGGTTTATCTTCATTTGAAACTAATTCATAGATTTTGATGAGGAAATAAGGGTGGCATATCAAGGAGAGGTGTACCAAGGAATAAGGGTGACATATCAAGGAGATGTGTTCCTTTGGCTATAAGGGTGGCATATCAAGGAGAGGTGTACCTTTGGATATAAAGGTGACAATTGTGTGTGGTTATTATAGCCCTTGCTATTATGTCTTTTAAGATTAAAATGAATTTGAGTTCTTACTTCTTTGTGATTTGAGGACTCAGAGATGTTGTTCTTATTAGAAATGATAGTACTAATGTTATTAAGAGGGGAAAACTTGGCCTATGGCCATTGGTTTTGGATATAATCTGTTTTGGATCAAATGTTTGATTTTAATGGAACCAGAGAGGCTCTGGTTGTTCCTTGAAAGGAACCAAAAGGGCTCTGGTTGTTCCTTGAAAGGAACCAGAAGGGCTCTGGTTAGTCCTCCAAATAGAACCAGAGGGTTTTGGAAATTGATTTGAGAATTATGCAAGTCTGTACTAAAAAGATTTAGTTGGACCAGAGGCTCTGTATCTATAGATAAGAGCTCCGTGTCAAAATCATATTTTAAAGAGTTTTCAAAAAGGGTTTTATACTTGAGAAGTTTTCTTACAAGTAAAACAGACCAAAAGCCCTAGTTGGCCTACGCGGATTGGACCAAAAGCTCTGGTTGGTCTTGCATTTTAAACCAGAAGCTCTGGGTGGCCTACGCGGGTTGGACCAGAAGCTCTGGTTGGTCTTGCATTTTGAGCCAGAAGCTCTGACTAGTAGAACCAGAGCTCTGGTCATACAAGATCTTTTCAAAAATATGTTTTATTTTTGGGAAAGCTATGTTATTATCAATAATGTTGGTCTATGAAAGTTTTGGGAATTTTACTTAAATAAGAAGCTCTGATTGGCTTAATCAGAAGCTCTGGTAGAGTAAACAGAGGAGCTCTGGTCCTCTTATTTGTTGAAATATTTTCTAAGTCTGGTCTTCGGAACCAGAGGTCCGATGGACTCAAACAGAATGTGGTTTTACATATTGAGATGTGAAATGACTTTATTGAATAAATGTTTTGGTTGTTTTCACCCTGCAACTACTTGGAAAAAGGGAATCTCACTAGACCTCTAGGTCTAACCCTCATTTTGTGTTTTCAAATGTGTTGCAGGAAATGCAAATTATAATGATAGTAATGGAAAATGGAAAATGTGAATTTTTTCCCTATGTGCTTAGCTTTATGAAGATCATATTTGGATGTGTTTTGGAGAATAGATATTATGGTTACAAGAGCATGTATTTTGGAATTTATGAGTTGTGAATTTTGTATTGTAGACTCTTGTATTATGGACCTTTGTGGGCTCGAACATGGATTCTATAAATGAAATATGTGTTATATGCAATGTGAGTTTTGGGGGTGTTACAGAAGTTGGTATCGGAGCCTGAGTTTAAGAGATTTAGGTATCCACATGCATGATGCCTAGACTTAAACTATTTTATTGCATATTAGGGTCCTAGACATAGTTAGCACCTAGAATAAATATGATAAGTTAAAATATCAGTGTGTAAGGTATTTTTGGATTACATCTGGCAAATGTAATTCTAAATCTACAGGTACATAACTAAACTTAGACACTTTATTATATTTGGGAATGTGAAAATGTGTTTATTAACATTGACATCTACAGATGACTAGTAGATCAGAAGGTCTGAAAGAATCACCCGCCCAATCCCAATGAAGAAGAAGATACCCATGTTCTTGCCCCTGTTGGTACATCTGAGGGCAGAGGCAGAGGTGGAGGCAGAGGCCAAAGCAGAAGGCAAACCAGAGGCAGAGTTAGGGGCTATTCGCTAATGGCTTAATAGGCTGTTAAGCCTGTATGGCTTATTCGATCATCCATACATTGTTGTTCGTTTCTGGCTTATTCGGTCAGCTGATAGCTTAACCGGTCAGCTACAAAAGTAGAGTCTTATGAACTCAGCCACTTTTTCATCCCTTATTCAAAGTTTGCCTTTCACATTTCTTGAACCCCAAATGCCCAGTTTATCTCATTTCCATCTATCCACACTCTCGATCTCAATTCTTTCCTTCATCCTGGTCCCTCTATCTCCATAGATTTGCACTTTATATTCTCCTTGCCGGAGAGCCAAATCTTCCAGTAGTTAACAATATCAGCGATTATACATGCAAATAACAGAAACAGACTTAAGACGAACACAACCAAATCAAGAGCCACCGTTTTTCGATAATTCGAAAACATAAAACTGTGTACCAAAATGAGAGTTGTGGATAGAAACCATATCGTCACTTTCATCCAAATTTTCCTATTCGGTTTCTCTTTTTCCAAAATGGAGTAATGGTACATCGGGAGCGAGTATTCAGACAGTAGAAAAGTTAACAAAACCATTAGATTGAAAATCGCAAGTAGAGAATCGTTGCGACGATACGAAACGATGAAAGAATAGACGGTGACAAGGAACAATTGTAGGATGCTAAATGGAAACGAATCTGCTGATGTCTGTCTTTGATTTTTGGAGGATTTACATCGATCTTCTTACGTTTAGGCACTTTGACTTCCATTTTGATTGCAAATGATGATTTCAGATGATCTGATGTTCCCTAAATCATACGAATCAGAATTAATCTTCAAGAACAAGAACTAGAAACAGAATTTCACCAAATATTGTATTGTATTTCTTGAGAGAAAGTACAATGAGATTAATAGCACTAATCAGAATTACGAACTGAACTAATGACAATTAAGAGACTAAATCCTATTTATACTAAGGAAATAGTAAATGCTAACAATTACAAAAACATTACAATGGGAGAACTTGAATACAACTTTAAAGCACATCCTTGAACCCAACAATCTCCCCCTTTGGATTGAAGTTCGAGACATTGTAAATATGGTTTTTCTAAGTCTGAGCATTGTCTCTAGCCTCTTCAGTGCACTCCGATACTGCAACTTATCATCAAGCAGATCCAAGGCATTGATCAGCAAATACCTATCCTTTGGACTCATCCTTTCCGACTCCGCATCAGCTCTTCTCGTCTCAAGTTCCTGTCTCACCATTCGTATAGTGCCATCAGAATATTTATTCAGCTTGCTGAACCTCATGAACTTCTTTATCAGACCCTCGGCACTGTATACCACCTCGAACTCCGGTTCTTCAAGAATTATATATAACGGATAGCCTTCAATATCTTCTAGCTCTTGATTAGATCTCTTCAA